GGGGGAGCACTCGTGAAAATAGATATATGAAGTACCTCATCCAATATATAAAGTGGAGCAGGTTTGAAAAGAAGCAATGCCAAGATTAAAGAGAGTGCAAGCAGAGATCTTTGCCCTCCACTAAGTTCTGATAAGGACTGTTTCCAAACATCTCCAAATGCAACACGAACCTCCAGACCATCAAGGAAGCTGCATCCTTCAGGTGGTTCCAGTTTTGCCATTGTGCCAGGTAACAAAGTAGAAAAGATGGATCCAAAATCTCTGAAAATTGGGAAAGATTTAGAAGTTCTTCACTAGCATGCAAAATAAAAATCTGAAGAGTTAGCAGATAAAGCACCAAAAATAGATACTAGTTTTCTACTTCAGTTAATAAATGATTAATTATACGAGCTATAATGTAACATTACACTCACTTGTTTACTTTCACCCAAGTAACTTTAAGGGTTTCCTTCTTCTTCTCATCAAGCTCTTCAATCACCAACTTGATTTTTGACTTGTCATTCTAGAACAAGAACTTTTAATAAATAACAAGCATCTGGGTATCAAAATATTAAAATGAATCAGTGGTACTACCTCAATAATGTTCTTTTTGGATATTAAGTCATTGTACTCATCTTCAGCTTTCTCAAACATGGCCATGACTTTCTTATTTACCCTTTTCTCAAGGCTACAACAGGAAGAGACAAAATGTCAAAATTTATCAATTTTGCTCTTATGATTGCTAATAAAAGTTGTCACTGGGGCTACTATGGTAATTTAACAGCCAACCCAATGCATACAGCCTTAAAAATCCTGCTAAACTCTCACCCAGATTGTTCAGCTTGCAGTATTTCGAATTCTTCCCTAGCCTTGCTGGGATCACGAGATGCAAAGTCATAATCTGATCCCGTTCTCCCAAAAAGTTGTTTTTCAGCTGCAATCCAGGGATGCTTCTCTATTAATTTTTCAACCATCAAAGCACAATCTTTTTGATCCATTTCCACGCGTTTCACCTACACCAAATGAAGAAATAAATTGAGTGGTCCAGAGAAACACGTAGAAGAAAATAAATTAACAAATCACCTCTTTCTCCAATCTCTTCCTCTCAAGGTTTGTCTCACTCATTCTATTCTGAAGCTTCTGTTGCTCCTTGACAATGCTAGTAATTTGTGAATCATGTTCCTTAATCTTCGTCCTAGCTGAGTTGAGCTCAGATTGGGCCTGATCATGATTATTTTTCAATGAAGCAACCTGCAAGAGAAAATTATATAATTCTTCATACCCACCGTAAAGAAGCACAATTTTATATTAGTTATTGTCAGTGTATACTGGATGTACCATGGTTTTGCAAGAATCCACTTCCAAAGTAAGATTGTTGATCTGCTTCTTCAAAGCATCCAACTGACTTTCCAGTGAACCATGTTCCATTTTAGCTGCTTCCATTTCCATTATAAGCCTCTCCCGTTTACTTTCATACACCTAGAAATACGTCCAACCATGTAAGTAGAGTCGAAATCCAGAGATTATATAATCAATAAAACTATTTCGTACATTTATTATACCTACAATGTTTTATACAGGAAATAGATCCCACTGTACAACACAGAACATCTTATGAACAAATATTTAAAAGGTTCTCATGTCGGCAAGTCAAAAGAATTTCACTTAACAAGCTGAGAAAGCTAATAAGGAAAGGTCTGCATAAACAAGGATGGGAAGGAAAATAGAAACGATAGAGATGTGTGGAAAGAATTAGAACAATCATATATATTTCAGTGGAAAAAATGCCAGGAGTAGCAAAAAGTTACTAGCTGTTAAAAATTATATTGGTTAAAGGTGTGGAATTAGAGCTAATGTAATACAGTTACACATATAAAATGATCCAACACTCAAGTTAATACCATAAAATACTATATTCAAATAAGAAACAATTAAACAAACCAACTTTTGGGCAGCAAAAATGTCTCAGACATCCACCATTTTTCTAGCAAAATATTGTTCATAAGTGAGTAATACATGGCATTAACATTTTTGAAACGTCTTGGTATTAATTTTTATTCGCTGGAATATTTTAGGTCACTGAACAAAAGATTCTTTCCATGACCATACCCATCACAAATAGCTACTTTGAAATTCCCTTTCACCATTTCTGGTATTGGGAGGTAAGAGATAGCCATTTCAATTAATCATGTTAAGAAACTGCCAATTATTGAAATCTACTTAATAAAAAGGTGCATGTAGAGAACCATTATGATAGCCAGTCGATCACTTAAGAGAGCAACTACAGAAAACCCACCTTGAGGTCCTTGGTTGCTGACTGCATCTGACTTTTAATAGCCTTAATCTTCTTGTCTAACTCTTTAAGCCTGGTTTCTCGATTACCAGCATGTTCATGGATTGACTTCTCAAGAGATGAAACCTTAGCTACACAGTTTTCAAATAAAATTTTCTTCTCTTTAATGGCAGATCTTGCTTCTCCAAGCTCTTGCTCGATCTTCTCTACTACTTCAGTAAGCTACATAACAAAAAAATGACACTGAATATCATCTGGATAAAGGATATCCAGTAACATAAATGACAAATAATACAACAAATTCAAAGTTTTAAATTCATGCATGTAACTAGTAAGGTGAAAATGTACAACCTTATGGTGCTCATTTTGCTCGGCCCTTTTCTGGAAAAGTGAAAGATCATACGATTTGAGTTCCAATTGTGCCTTAAGATCTTTGAACTTTCTTTGAAGGGGAAGGAGCTCATTAATCTAAAATGCGAAAACAGGAAACTGTGAGATCCATCAACACAAATCATTAATTAATATACAAATTTCAGTTTTATACATACAGAACTTAATTATTTCCTAAATAATTTGTATTAAAAGCCAATATATACTCCATTCATACCATGCTAAGCGTATCAGTTTTTACTTGATAAAATTATTTCTGTAAGAGTTAAAATATGTGCTCTTATCAATTTCCCATTTATATTAGTTGTTTAAGTGATTAAACCAATACATACGGTTTTGCTATTTAACTCCAAATTCAAGAAAAGTAAAAAAGCAGGATCACTTCACCAAGGATATTGAGAGTGCACAAAGAAAGAAATTTTTATGAATGAGTGGAAAGACAATTAATTAAAGATCAGAGTAAAAGACAGTTTAGTGTGGACATCCTTTATGTCATAAATCTTCTACTAAGAAAATAACGAAATAACTAAAAAGCAAACAATAAGGTCGCTATTATGTAAAAAAAGTGCAACAGTAAGAGAAAGACAAGTCGTATCCCACTGAACTTAAGATCCACTTGAAGAATATTCGTTGCCACTACTTTCAATTCAACCCTATATCATCTAAAAGGTATGATGAAAATCGGATCATTAACAACTATATTACTCATGTTAGTTTTGTTTTATGTCTCCCTCTTCTAACATGGTCCACCACATCAGTTCCTTTCTCCCTTCAATTGTCCTCACTGGCTGCCACTTCCACTTGGTTATAGCCTCATTTCTTATTTCATCTATTCTAATATGACAGCAGATCCATCTTAACATCTTCCAATGTCATTTGGTGGCCAAAGACTTGGCTCCACAACATATCTAGTCTAATAACCATTCTATAGCACTTGCTTTCTTATCTTGACAGGTATCACTAGAAATTTTGTAGCACTTCTCCATTCTGACCAACCCACTGCAATTATATGCACTGCATGCTCTTCAAATTCCTAGGTCATAATCAAACTTAGACCCAGATTGGCCCCCAATTTTTAAAACTCGTTTTCAACAATTCATTTTATCAGACTCAAAATTTTTAGACTTTCAAACACTTATCTCATCTACTTTTTATAAAATCTACTAAAAATCAAATTTTTAGCCAAAACAAACAAGAGGTTAATACCTAAAATGCTCAACTCTTAGAGACGACATGAATCCCCATTATGATTTCATTTCGACTATAACTAGAATGCCATTTCATCATTTTCAACTTAGTACTAATCAGCTAATACTTTTAAATTCTGAAGTGCTCCTCCAAAGTTCTAAGTTACAATCATTTCTCTTCTAATCTCATCGATGAAAACTATTTCACCACCAACTACATAAACCTAGAGATCTCATCCGTATGTCTCGTAAGCTCATCTGCAACTATAGATTTTCAAAAAGAAGAGATAATTACACCACTGTAAATAACATGTAATCCAATTTCCAAAATCACAATCAAATCAAAATTAAGATTTCATCCACATGGATTCCACCCATTCTGTAGTAAAATAAGAATTTACAAAATTGCAAGATGGCAGAGAGAAAAATATTATACACTGAAAATCATTTTCATGCCATAAGTAAGCTAAGCTCTATATTGAGCCAAAAATATTCCCCAACAAAAATGACGCCATGTGTCAAGAATGTTACCACGTGTAGTTCAAGAAACATGCTTTCTAGGTATTGGCCATGGGATAAATAAATTGGTTGATTACAGCACTATTTCTACAGACAAACAATATAGACTCAAATTTAAGATAAAGATTCTTAATGGGGGTGGGGAGAGAAATTTAATTAGAACTAAGAATAAACCTTGGCATCAATTTGTGATAGACATTTCTGATGAAAAGAAAGTTTTAACTCGGCCTCTGCCAAAGCATGAAGTTGCCTCAACAGTTCACCACCTCCCCTGCAACCATTATTGTTCTATAATGTCCTCATAGTATTACACAAAGCATATGCAGTGTCCCAAAACTATTCACAGATAAATCGTTAAATTGACTTGGTATATAACATCATATAAGTTTTTTTCCAGCAGTCTAATGAATCCAAAACGAGAATGTCAAAATAGAGAAGGAAGCACATCAATTCTGACCTGCGACTACCACCCGTTAAAAGCCCGCTAGGCTGAAAAATGTCACCTTCGAGAGTCACACTAGGTCTTCCTATTGCTCCATTGAAGGCAACCTATATGTTAAATAATAGGTTAAAACAGATCTACACATTTTAACGGAAAGAAACTTCCGATGACATGCAGATTTGCAGTAGGACACATAATATTCACTTATTAACATGGATATACAGAAGGTATCTGCATGTTCTGTCCATATTAAGGCAGCCTCATGAGCAGAGAAAATCTGGATAAGCCCAAGATGCATTGCATCAAGTGTTCTTAGATTCAAGAATTATTGAAGATAGCCTTTGGAGTAACTATAAATGTTATGCTCCTCTGCCAATATGATACGTAAATGATGGGGAAGTTACTACACAAAGACATATCTTAGCTCCTCATCTTTCAAAAAGAAAATAGCTTAGACATGATGGAAACTTTTGGGTGTCCATGAATCTGATATCAGAAAAGCCAAGCCAGTCATTGATGTTATTATTCCCAACTATTCACAGATAATTTGACAACATAAGTTACATCCACAACCTTAAATCCCACAAAAATCATAGTCTCCAACTATGTTTTGGGTTACGAATAAACACATATAGTGCAAGAATAAGGCTTGATTAGATAACATTTATAACAAGCACCAGTTTCAATGCTTGATTAGATAAAATTTATAACTACCAGTTTCAATGCTTGATTAGATAACATTTATAAAAAGCACCACTTCAGACCCCCTGAACAACAAATGATAAGTTAGACTACCAGTCAGGCAAGCAATGACTACAAACTGCCCTTAGATTCACGGAGCTAACTCTGTTCAAATTGTTTACTTAATTCATGGTGCACGTGTCCACAAAAGCATTTGCATTCAAGATAAAAACTAAATAGAAAAATCGAAGTATAACAAAGGAATTAGAGTGTGACTTTCACATTATCATTACTGTAAGAAACTTCTCACGTAAGAGAAATGTATCACTATATAATACAACTGTATAAAAAATACCTCTCGTGCAGCATCACTGGTTTTGCAAACAAAGGTTGATCCAAATACATATTCCATTGCACTCTGCATTGAATTCATCTCTCAGGAAGGATGCAGTTTATTATGTTCATAACCCACATTTTCAAGAAATATACGGAAGAAACTCAAGAAAGAATGAAGCTGGACAAAGATATTAAGCCCATGTTTGATCCCCATTAAATTAAATTACATTATATTCCATTTTTCTCTCTCCTATTTTCAACCACAAAATCTTCCATAAAATAATATTACGCGTAAATCGAAAACTTTTCCTTCTTTTTCAACCACTCATTTTTCTAAAAAATACTATTCCCCACATTTTCATTTTTAGGTAATGGGAATCAAACAGGGGCTAAATCTGGGGATCCAGACAAAGATATTAAGCCCATGTTTGATCCCCATTAAATTAAATTACATTATATTCCATTTTTCTCTCTCCTATTTTCAACCACAGAATCTTCCATAAAATAATATTACGCGTAAATCGAAAACTTTTCCTTCTTTTTCAACCACTCATTTTTCTAAAAAATACTATTCCCCACATTTTCATTTTTAGGTAATGGGAATCAAACAGGGGCTAAATCTGGGGATCCGTCAAGTGAATATACATACACCAGTCATTACATACAGCAGTCATAACTCATTACTAAACATGAATAACATATGAGTAATAACAAAAGATGGTATTACTCTCAAAGTGTCTGGCGATAACCATGACTGCTGTAAGTTCAGTTAGCAAAACAATAAAATAAAATTCGGTCAGAAATAGATGGTGCAGAAACATACTTGCAATTCATCATCATATCCAACAAGAGAAAGTGCCACTTCAGCATTGCCTTTGCCAACCTGAAAATGATGAAGTGTATGTTCTAACAAAACAATTTAAGACGGATGCAATAAAAAATATGAGAGGCCAATTGTGGAGCTGACCAGTCTCGCGGCAGCAGATTGGACTCTCGGTGGGACAGGATGGCTTTGAATTTTGTTTAGAGGAATGATTGTCACTCTCCTTCGTAGACCACCATTTTGAAGAAGTTGTTTTCCTGTGTTTTCAGTGTCCACAACAACATTAAATAACTTCCCACCGGCAGCAACCTGAAAGGAGATAATAAAATAACAAAAGGTTCGATCATCGCAACATTTCATCAGTAAGATTATATCAACACATTAAAGCCATGGCAAAGATAAGACGTGTAAAGGACAGCAGCATCTCAGCTTTATTATATTAAGGGATAGGACCTTAGAATGGTCTCTTTTTGTCTTGATTTTCTTTCACACAATGATTGACAAGTGTCCTATCTCTCAAAAACTTGTAGCCATTGGATAATCAAAATGATTATAAACTTTATTAACTATTGACAGCTAATTTTGGAATATGAAGGGCACAACTCTCGAATTTAAATATTCATTTCTTATTGGCACATACATGGAATGTGCACAAGTAGCAAGTAAACATTACCAACCTCAAGGGCAGTCATTGCAGAACTATCTTTCACTTTAATTAGTCTTGCAACAACCCCTTTCACCCTTGACCTATCGAAATTATTTGCAGGGTCGTTGTAACTGAAGTCCACATTTCCCAATTGCGATGATAGAATCCGCACTTCGTCCCTAAACTTCTGCACCATCTCTACCTCAACAGCACGATCCTGACAATATTCAACATATGATAATGAGACAAGATGCATAAATCTTTCAAGTTGGGAGAATTAGACTCCGCCTAGGGAAAACATACCTTTTGTAACGCTTCCATACGACCCTCTTCATAGGAAAGAGATTCCAAAGACTTCTGATCCTTTTCAACATCTTTCCTCCTAACATTCAACTCATTTTCTATAGCAAAAGCTTCTTCACGTTTTGATAATAACTGGCTGCTTTTCTCCTTCAGCTCTTTCTCGCAATGACTTATTCTTGTCTGCAACTGCTTTAATTCAGTCTCTGTTTTTCCAACTTCTATCTTGGCGTCACCTAATTGATCTTCAAGGCATTTGTCTTCATTTCCGCTGCTCTTACCTGCTACTACACCCTATAATAAGACTTACCTATATGTTAGGAAATCATATTATTCAAACAAGAATGTTCCATTTTCGCATATATATCCACCCATTATCTTTGGAATTCTTACTTGGTACTCCTTTTCATGCTCTTCCAAACTCTTAGAAAGCTCTTGATAACTTCTTTTCAGATCGGCTGCTCCATCTTCTGCAGATTTTACAGCTTTAGCCTTCTCTTCTTCAGATTGTTTTAATTCTTCAAGATTTCTCTCCATCTGGCAACGTCAAAGTATGAAGCTGGGTATTCAGTAGACAAATTGTGGTATCTCAAGAAGTAAAAACTCAATGACTTTATGAGTGCATGGATACAAGATAACAATAAATAACATGGAAAGGCAAGCTCCTGTACCTTTGCAGCATTCCCTTTTTCAGTCATGAGAATGTCTTCTTGATTTTTCAGCACTGATGTTGCTTTCACAAGATCCCGGGATAGAGCATCAACTTTCTCTGATAGAATTTTTAATTCCCCACCCATGCTTGCTTCTTTTTCAGCACTCAACTCTGATACCTTCTTTTCCATAACCTGTATTTCCTCATGCATCTTTTCTACACTATTGCCAATCTCAGAAATCTTGTTATTTATTTCTTCCATGCCCTGAACTGCATTATCCCTAATCTTTTCTGCTTGAACATACTCATAAGCAATGCAAAATCTCTTCATTCGATCCAATTCTGCATTTCCATTAGCCCATTGAATGTACTGCATTTTCTCTTTCCTCAACTTCTCCAAAGCAGGAAGTATTTCCTGATCAAGAAGCTTATTAATCTCATCCACCTTGCTCTGTTTCTTTTCAAGCGTTTTCAAGGCAGCCTCTTTTTTTGTTTCATACATTCTTGTCCCTGCAGCCTCTTCAAGCATAGACAAGATTTCAGGAGGTTTCATGTTCAATACTTTTGTAATACGCCCTTGCATTATAAGAAAATGTGGATTATTCACATTAAGCTGCACTGAGTGGAAAAGATTTTGAACTCGACTAGGCTGAGCAAGGTGCCCATTGATTAAGTACTTATTTCTTCCACCAACCACAATCTGCAGAATGCATAAGGAATTTTTGACAATATATGATGAAGCAGTGGTATTGATTATTAAAAAGAGAGGATGAGATCAAACCAGTGAAAATGAACCGAGCAAGAAGATTTCTACATACATTCAGTGATAGTTTTTCTCCAATACTATTTTTAGAAATTTAACTGCATCGAGCAGTCATAAGATGACTGCAGTAAAATGTTAACACTAATATCATCAATGCTAGAATTTTCAGGGGAAAAATCATTAGAATGTATTTTCTGTTGCATGTTTAAATTTATTAAATCAAAACTATATTGTGCTAGATAGCTACCTAAGCCTATCAAGATAATTTCCTCGTCCACGTTTAAATAAAAAGAGAAAAGAGAAACCTAAATTCCACTAACTGAAGCGTTAACTCAGCGTTAGATATCAACACTGAAAAATGACTGCAGTAAAATGCTAACATAATATCACCAATGCTAGAATTTTCTGGGGAAAAATAATAAGAATGCACTTTCTATTGCGTGTTTAAATTTATTAAAAGGGTGTATGGAAGACATTTTTATGTAAAAATATATTTTTGAATAGTAAATTAATGAGAAATGTGTTGTTGAAAAATAAGAAAAAGTTTTTGATTTGCGTGTAATATTATTTTAATAAAAAATGTTTGGTTGAAAAGAAGAGAAAGAAAAACACATTTTGAAAAAAATGGGTATCAAACGGGGCCTAAATCAAAACTATAGTGAGATAGATAGCTACCTAAGCCTATCAAGATGATTTCCTCGTCCACATTAAATAAAAGGAGAAATGAGACACCTAAACTCCACTTACTGAAGCGTAACTCAGGATTAGAAAATGCAAAAAGCATCGCTTTTTTATAGACACGGGTATTCAGGAATGCACAAATGTTTATTTATTATCTCTACCACGAGATAGCGGGGGAGTTTGGGCCCAAAAAAATTGGTAAAAATCTCACAGAAAAAACTAACATTTTAAGGTCACTCACAAATTCTTGCATGTTACGAGGTTTGCACCATCTGTATAAAGCCAAAATTATTGTCTACCATGAAAATGTAACCTTTTTATGATATAAATATTTTAAAATGCGAGAGAAAATAAAGCAAGTTTCAAACAAATTAAATTTTCAATTTATGGGGAAATGTGAAAATTTCAAGTACCTGACGAGTAACGGTAATTTCAGGGCAATCCTCGTACCCAAGAGGGCTCCGGCTGCGATCCGAATTATCAAAAACTACAGAAACAGTAGCCTTTGTAATTCCAGCTTGACCTTGCTTGTACACCAGCTCCTGCAAATTAGAAGCCCTAACTTGTTGCAAATTTGTGATGCCCAAAACNGGATTAGAAAATGCAAAAAGCATCGCTTTTTTATAGACACGGGTATTCAGGAATGCACAAATGTTTATTTATTATCTCTACCATGAGATAGCGGGGGAGTTTGGGCCCAAAAAAATTGGTAAAAATCTCACAGAAAAAACTAACATTTTAAGGTCACTCACAAATTCTTGCATGTTACGAGGTTTGCACCATCTGTATAAAGCCAAAATTATTGTCTACTACGAAAATGTAACATTTTTATGATATAAATATTTTAAAATGCGAGAGTAAATAAAGCAAGTTTCAAACAAATTAAATTTTCAATTTACGGGGAAATGTGAAAATTTCAAGTACCTGGCGAGTAACGGTAATTTCAGGGCAATCCTCGTACCCAAGAGGGCTCCGGCTGCGATCCGAATTATCAAAAACTACAGAAACAGTAGCCTTGGTAATTCCAGCTTGACCTTGCTTGTACACCAGCTCCTGCAAATTAGAAGCCCTAACTTGTTGCAAATTTGTGATGCCCAAAACAAAACAAATCGAGTCGAGGATGTTTGACTTGCCCGATCCGTTCAGACCCGTAATTGCGTTGAAGTAGGGGTCGAAACCTGGTACCACTGTTCTAGTTGCGTAGGATTTAAACCCCTCTAAACAGACCTCCTTTACGTGCATTTTTAGTGAAAACTGGGGATGTGAAACCTTGGAAGTGTAGAAATTGAAAGAGTTAGAAATGGGAACCCTAGATTCTGTACGAGAGAAAGGGGACAGTATTGACGGGGGAGTGCAAGAGGCGGGAAAGGATTATTCAGATGCGTTTTTGAAATGATTTTTCCTCCATTAATCTTAATTCTTTATTCCTTCAAAGTGGGCCGAACCTAATTCAAAGTCCAAATAGCCGTAAAATGTTTGATTCGCTGGGCTATTTTCAATTATCCAGAAAAAAGTATTGGTAAAAGATAAAGTTTAATAATGCATAAATCAGATTTTTATAAAAAATTTAAAGGGCAATTTTCAAAAATACCTTTAAAATTAGGGGTGTTTTGAAAAATCATAAAAAAAGTTTTTTTAAAGTAAAACATACTGTGTAAAATTAACAGTGTCACTATTTTTATAAAAATTGCTACTTTTCTTTTTAAGTGATACAATGTCATTTTTAAAAGTTTAGTATCGCTTTTTAATTAAAAAGTTTCATACAATGTCATTTTTATTAGAAAGTGATGTTTGTCATTAAATAAAGTGATAGAAATGAAGAAGGTGGTTGAAAAAGTGACACACAAAAAAAAAAAAAAAAAAAAGGAAAAAAAAATTAAAAAAAGGGACACAAAAATTAAAAAAAAAAAAACAAAAAATCAAAAAAAGGAAAAAAAAATTAAAAAAAGGGACACAAAAATTAAAAAAAAAAAAACAAAAAATCAAAAAAAGGAAAAAAAAATTAAAAAAAGGGACACAAAAATTAAAAAAAAAAAAAAAAAAAAGTGACGAAACATTCAAAAAATGACAAATTTTTTTTGGGCAACTTTCAAAAATACCTTTAAAATTATGGGTATTTTGAAAAATCATATGAAAAAATTTTTTAAAATAAAAAATACTATGTAAAACAAAAAAGTGACACAATGTCACTTTTAAAAGTTTAGCATCACTTTTTAATTAAAAAATTTCATACAATGTCAATTTTATTAATAAAGTGATAGAAATGAAGAAGGTCGTTGAAAAAGTTACAAACACTTAAAAAAAAAAAAAAAAAGTAATAGGTATCAAGAATGTGACTAAAAAAAGTGACAGAAATTTAAAAAAAAAAAAAAGTGACGAAATCAAAAAAATTGCACAAATTAAAAAAGTGACAAACATTCAAAAAATGACAATTTTTTTTTTGGGCAACTTTCAAAAATACATTTAAAATTAGGGGTGTTTTGAAAAATCATATGAAAAGTTTTTTTAAAGTAAAAAATACTGTGTAAAACTAAAAAGTGACACAATGTCACTCTTTTTTTTCACTTTTAAAAGTTTAGCATCACTTTTTAATTAAAAAATTTCATACAATGTCAATTTTATTAATAAAGTGATAGAAATGAAGAAGGTGGTTGAAAAAGTTACAAACACTAAAAAAAAAAAAGTGATAGGTATCAAGAATGTGACTAAAAAAAGTGACAAAAATTCAACAAAGTGACAGAAATTAAAAAAAAAAGTGACGAAATCAAAAAAGTTGCACAAATTAAAAAAGTGACAAACATTCAAAAAACGACAATTTTTTTTTGGGCAACTTTCAAAAATACATTTAAAATTAGTGGTGTTTTGAAAAATCATACGAAAAGTTTTTTTAAAGTAAAAAATACTGTGTAAAACTAAAAAGTGACACAATGTCACTCTTTTTTTTTCACTTTTAAAAGTTTAGCGTCACTTTTTAATTAAAAAATTTCATACAATGTCAATTTTATTAATAAAGTGATAGAAATGAAGAAGGTGGTTGAAAAAGTGACAAACACTAAAAGAAAAAAGTAATAGATATCAAACTAAAAAAAGTGACAAAATTTCAAAAAAAGTGACAAAAATTCAACAAAGTGGTAGAAATTAAAAAAAAAAAAAGTGACGAAATCAAAAAAGTTGCACAAATTAAAAAAGTGACAAACATTCAAAAAATGATAAATTTTTTTTGGGCAACTTTCAAGCATACTTTTAAAATTAGGGGTGTTTTGAAAAATCATATGAAAAGTTTTTTTAAAGTAAAAAATACTGTGTAAAACTGAAAAGTGGCACAATGTCATATTTTTTTTTCACTTTTAAAATTTAGCATCAGTTTTTAATTAAAAAATTTCATACAATGTCAATTTTATTAATAAAGTGATAGAAATGAAGAAGATGGTTGAAAAAGTGGCAAACACTAAAAAAAAAAATGGTAATAGATATCAAGAATGTGACTAAAAAAAGTGACAAAATTACCAAAAAAAAAAAAAAAAAAAAAAAATAAAAAAAAGAAAAAAAATTTTAAAAAAAAAGAGAAAAAACCAATCACCATTCATGGAAACTCGTAAATGAGTCCTAGAATATCAGTAGATTCACATCCCACTGTAATATTTTTGGCAAAATGTGGGGAGGAAGACAGAAATTCAACAAAGTGACAGATATTTAAAAAAAAAGTGACGAAATCAAAAAGTTGCACAAATTAGAAAAGTGACAAACGTTCAAAAAATGACAAATTTTTTTTTTTAAAGTGACAACCATTGTTCCTCCTCTTTCTCTATTCAATTCCAAGCGTCTTTAATTCAATTCACCGAAAAAATACCCGTCAAAATGCTAAGCATTTTAAGTCAGTTTACCGTTACTATCATCTATCAACACAGCCAACCCATTGATTGACCTCCACAAAAAAATAACTACTATCACAACAATGACAAGCACGTAATAACAAGAATAAACAAAGGAAATCTGGGCAGGATTTTAAACTGGGAAAGAGTAGCCTAGAATTTCGGAGGCAACTTCCAAGGTTGAATAAAAAATCAGCTGCTGTCAATCCAAACGAATTGTAGTCATTCTTGATAATTGCAGTAACAATAATGTAGATAACTTAATAACAAATGCAATAATCCAATAACAAAGAAGTTAAGGATACCGTAAACCGAGTTACAAACATGAAAAGCACATAACCCATACCTCTGGATCTCCACCTTATTCATTTTACAGGGCCAATTGCCTTTTTAGCCTTTGTCTGATGGAAAAAGCAAAACAAGTTAATAAAGCTAATAATGATACCAAAGCCCAATCTTAGCAAAACCCCTCAAATGAATTATGAAACAAAGACACCAGATAAGGTAGTTGAAGTAGCAAGAATTTAGGAGTTGTGCGTGAAGATTTCTTGAAAGGGTATCATTGGATACAGTAGTGAGGAGAAGTGGACTCGTGTACGATGAGAAAAGGAATCGAGAACTTCATCAACACCAACCTGTTAAAGTTCAAAAGTCAAAGTGAGAGTTGATTCAAGCAACCAAGTAGCAGTTTGCTAACATTTTGAGCTTCCGCTCATGGAATCGATTTACAGATGCAATCATCTTCAGTAATGGATCTCCAGTTGCGCTGTTACAGTTAGTGATTCAATCATCTATAATCATCACGGTGCTCAATATCCCATTTCTCGAATTTGAAATCAAGAGTTTTGGACTCACGAAGTTCTCATAACTGCAACTCTTATTCTTTCGTCTGAAGAAACTCAAATAAAAAATATAGCAACGAAAATCAATCAACTTTGATCAAAACATAAAACACAATTTAGAGTGATTTGGATGAATTTTCAGTTTTGATTGATTTTACTTTGAGGGTTTTGGATTTTTAGAACGTATTAATTACGTTCTTAAATTGTTTAGTAAGTTACTATGGTATTAATCAAATTAATTAATTTTTGAGGATATTGGACCTAATTTGCCCAAATTTAAATCCCCCTTTCCATCCCCTCACTCTTCATCTCATTTTGTCTCTCACATCTCTCTGCTCTTTCACCATCTACGTCTCCATCATCAGAGACCACCGTAGGCCGTCTCTCTGCCGACATGGGGGAAACTGAGCACCACTTGCCTCACCTCGTCGCAATGAGCTTCAGTGCTTCGATTTGAGGAGTTGATGGTGGTGGCGACATGGTGGTAGCGTCCGGAGCTTGTGCTAGGAAAAGCCACCGCTCCGCGCAATTCCAGCGTCGGCGCCTCACGTTCGAATCCATGGTTTCACCGGTACACACTTCGCGACAATTTGTTATTTTGTCGGCTACTTCTGCGTGAATGTGGTGATGGTGATGACGTGTTGTGAAATGCATCTTCGTGACGCCGCTGCATCGCCTCCACGCCCACCTTGTAGATCTGAAAGCAACGTCAATCTGAGATCCAGAGCAACACCATTTGAGAGGCGTCGATGGATTCAGATGGTGCGATCTTGTGGTGGTGATTTTATCGTCGTTGTGGTTGCAGTTCGGTGTGGTTGGCTATGTGGTTGGTGTTTGAGATGTGGTTGGTTGGTTGGTAGTTGCTGTGGTTTGTGGTGGCATATTTTTTGCATTGTTGTGGTGTGTGATGGTTGCAGTTAGTGTTGTCTGCTGTGGCGTGGTTGGTCTTTGAGGTGTGGTTGGTTGGTTGGTGGTTGCTGTGGTTTGTGGCGGCATGGTTTTTGTGTTGTTGTGGCGTATAATTGTTGCAATTAGTGTTGTATTTGCTGTGGTATGTGGCGATGGCAATGGCAGTGGCAGTGGCGGGCATGGTTGTGATGTGGTGGTTGTGGGTAGGATGGGAAAGGGGTGTTTATGACCAATTATATTTGGTTGATTGTGACGATGGTTATGGTGGTGTTTTGGCGAAGACAGATCTATGATTGGTGGTGTGGATCAGGCTAGTGGTGGTCCTTTTTGTTATTGTTGTTGGTGGTGGTTGTGATGGTGTTTGTGACCAAGTATTGTAGTGGAATGGGATCTAGATTGGGTATGGTATTACGGTGGTGTGGTGGTTGCGGTGGTGTAGTGCAAGCGTCAATTGGGTGGTGTTGATTTGTAGCCAAGATTAGTGCTGGATCGGGACCAGTGTAGTGGGGTGTTTGGAATCCGTGACCAATTATTTGAAATCTGTGACCAACTATTTAGTTGTCTGTCACAAATTATTTCGCTGATTTGTGACCAAAAATTAGTTGTTTGTGACTAAAAAATAAAATGTAACCTTTATGACCCATAGATAAAATATGATTTGTAATTTGAATGATCTGTGACTTAAAAATAAATCTGTGACATACAAAATTTTTGATATGTGACATCAAAATAATATATGACCTATTAATTTGATGATATGTGACCA